GTGCCTGACTAGGGCCCTCCAGGGGCAGGTCAGAGCAGAACGTTCCAAATGGGGTTCAGAAAGCCACACAGTGGCCAGGGGGCAGGCCCCAGCGACCAACAGTTCCCCAGTGGGCAACCTCCTCCACCAGCACCAACAGCCTGCTGCTCCTTCTTTGCCCGGAGCAACCTGACCACCCACAGGTCGTCAGAGCCTACCCTGGGGCCAGAATGGGGGAGCAGCGGAAGCAGTGGCAGGCACAGTGGCCATAATCACACCAGTGGCCACCAACCAAGAGCTTACTAGGTACCAGGCACCGTGCTAAGTATCTTACGTGTTCTCATTTAGTCCTCACATTCCTGAGCAAAGGGTATCATCTCCATTTTACAGATGAGAAAAGTGAGGCAAAAGATAAACAACTTGCCTGAGAAGCCACAGGTATAAGCAAACCCAAATCAGTTTGCAGAGGGATAAATTGATGTGGACAAATCAGCCTGCCAGATGTGTCTGCTTGCTTGACCTACTACACAGTTTTTAGTTTTTACAAATTGAGCCAGTTTAAAAACTGGAATATCCACCATTAAAAAAAAAAAATCCAGATTTCCAGCTTCTCTTGAAAACCAGAAAACCTGGCAACATTTGCAGGCCTGACCCAGATTCCCTATGCAGCCAGCAACGATGAGCAGCACCACGGTGGTGGCTGGTACTACTCTTAAGGTTACCACAGTTACCACAACTCTCCAGGGCAGAGCCGGCAAACTTTTCCTATAAAGGGCCGGAAGGTACATATTTTAGGCTTTGTAGGACACTGGGTGTCTGTTGCAACTACACAACTCCACCACTGTAGTGTGAAAACAGCCAAAGGCCACACATAAACTAACCGGCATGGTTGTGTCCCAATAAAACTTTACTAACAAAAAAAGGCTGTGGGGCTTCCCTGGTGGTGCAGTGGTTGAGAGTCCACCTGCCGATGCAGGGGATGCAGGTTCGTGCCCCAGTCCGGGAAGATGCCACATGCCGCGGAGCGGCTGGGCCTGTGAGCCATGGCCGCTGGGCCTGTGCGTCCAGAGCCCGCGCTCCGCAACAGGAGAGGCCACAGCCGTGTACCACAAAAAAAGGCTGTGGCCTGGATTTGGCCCATGAGCCATGGTTTGCTGACCTCACTGTGGTCCCACTGACCTATAGTTGAGAAATACTTCTTTGAACCCGTTTCTCTATTGAAAAGTGGGAGAGTGCTTATGCCTCTGGCCAGCCTCCCCTATGACATGCCTGCCCTCTGTAGACATGTCAGTCTTTGCCCAACACCTGAGGGTGAAATACAGCATCCAACAGCACGGCAGGCAGCATGTGGTGAGGGCCACCCCCAGGGAAGCCCAACCTGCTTCCCAGAGCCACAACTTTCCTTGCATCAGGCAACTGGGCCCTGGCCTACCTCTCTTCTCTCCACCTTCCCCTGTGACCCTCTCATCTGCTCCCATGGCTTCAATAATCCCATGCACACAGAGCATCCAGATCTTTCTTCAGATGTCCAGCCTGAGTCCCTTAAGCCCTCTGCTCCAGCCATCAGCAACTCCAGCCATCAGCAACTCCAGTGAGAGCCCAGAACCGGCCAGGCTGTTTCATGCCCCTCAGCCCCCACCAAGAGTACCCATCCCACCTGTCCACTTACTCAATTCTTAATTCCCAGCCTGAGATTCTCTGCCCAGTGAAATCTTTCCTACATCCACCCCTGCCCTGCACGGAGAAGTGGCCTCTTCTAACCACCAATGTCCATGTGACATCTGAGTGCAATTATCTACTTGTCCCCTCCACTAGGGCACAGACTCGTAAAAGGCAAGGATTATGGTCAGGAAAAGATTTTTCAAACGAGGCACAGAATGCTGACTATACATGAAGAGATACATTTCACTGTGCTAAAATGAAGAATGGTTGTTCAACAAAACATGCCTCAAAGAAAGCAGAAAGTTAAAAGCTGGAAAAAGATATTCACAATAAGCACGAAGGATTAAAATCAAGGATATATAAAGAACTCTTACAAGTCAATTTTCTTTTTAAAGCACCAGGAACCCCACAGAAAAACTGCAAAAGAGTGAACATATAATTTACAGGAAACACGCATGCCAATAAACTTATGAAGAGATGTTCGACATCAGGGCTCAGGGACACAGAAATCAAGATCCCAAAGCTCCCATTTTATACCCATTCCATCGGCAGAAATTTAAAAAAGTCAGCCTATACCAAGTGTTGGCAAGACTGTGGAGCAAGTGGAAGGCCTACATTCTGCTGCTGGTGGAGTGAAAACTCGTACAATCACTTCAGAAAAAGTCTAGTAACAACTACGAAAGTTGGACATTTATTCACCCTACGACCCAGCAAAATACCACCTCTCAGCTCATACCCAAGAAAACCTCTTGCATATGTGCAAAAGAAAACGTGTACGGAAATGTTCAGAGCAGTCCATGCGTGACAGCAAAACTGGAAACGAGCAGGTACCCATCAATGGAAGATCAGACGCATAAACTGTGACTTGTCCACACCATGGAATATTATCCAATATTCAAGACAAATGAACCAGATTTCATGCAATAATATGGACAAACTGTAGCGATATTTTTTAAGTGCCTTAGGAACACACAGGTACCGTAAAACTACATAAAGATGAAAGTGAGGGGATAATGGTTATCTCAGGATGGGAATGGGAGGAAAGATCAAATGATTGGATGTGTATTTTGTTTCAAGATCCTGACTTTTGTTGTGGATGGCTGAAATGCGGGAACTTACAACACATTAAAGATAACTTCGGAAACAAGTGAAAGCAAGCCGGGCGTGAATGGTGATCAGTGTGCATTAATCTAGTTCTCTGTTTACCTGAGGTGAAAATTAAAACAAACACACAGAAGGGACTGTTTAATTCTCTGTACTCCAAGTGCCAAGCACAAGTCCGGGCACACAACTTCCTAAGCATGTGTGCGATGAATGAGGAATGCTCCTCCCTCGCCCGTGGCCCCATTCCCGCCGGCCTCTTCGGGACCTTCAGCAGGTCTGAAGCCAAACCCACCTTCCTTGCTGACGCCCCTCTCCTCCTGGATTCCCTGGCTCTGCGCTGGCCCTCCTCCGCCTTCTCCCCCAGCCCAGCGGCTGCCCTGGCTTGCCCTCTCCTCGCCTCCTCAGACCCCACTGCTAGCATCTGGCTGGGACCTTTCTGCCTCTCACCTTGACAAGCACTCTCTGCCGACTGGCTTCTCCAAGTCCTGTCTCTCCTCGTCCACCCCAGAGACAGGGGCGAGGTTGAGCTTCCCGATACAGTTCTGACCCTCTCTCTTCCACACCTCCCCTAGAGCTCTAGAAATAATGTTCATGTTCCCTGGGCTGATGCTGAACGCCCATCACAGTCTGGTCCCTTCCTATCAACAGTAGCTGCCAGAGCATCTCTCTTCAGTACCCTCTTCCATCTACACCTTCCCCTCCCCGATCCCTCCTAAAAAGTGTAAGTGACGAGCTGCTACCCCATATACCGCCAGTTTCCCCAACTCCGTGCCTCGACTTTACCCAGAATCCCACCCACTTGGCCACCCATCCTCAGCTGACCCACACTTTCAAGGCCCCATTTAAACACCTCCAGGGGCTTCCCTGGTGGCGCAGTGGTTGAGAGTCCGCCTGCCGATGCAGGGCACACGGGTTCGTGCACCGGTCCGGGAAGATCCCACATGCTGCGGAGCGGCTGGGCCCGTGAGCCATGGCCGCTGAGCCTGCGCGTCCGGAGCCTGTGCTCCGCAACGGGAGAGGCCACAACAGTGAGAGGCCCATGTAACCGCAAAAAAAAAAAAAAAAAAAGGGGTCCTTAAACACCTCCAGGATGCTGGGATGTGCCCACTTGAAAGAAAACTCCCCTCTTACCAACTTGCACGGCATTCTGTCTGTCCTCTACAGTTCTCTCTCTTTCACAAGACCCGGAGCAGCCAGAGGGCAAACTCCCCTGTCTACCTCCCCCTACCAGAAGCTGGCAGTGGTGTACAGAAACAATCACAAAGAGAATAATCTAATCCATTCCCCGCTTTCTAGCCAGGGTGCTCATTTGGCTCATTTCTAGCCATGGCTCATAAAATGCCCATCCTAGACTTCCCTGGTGGTCCAGTGGTTAAGACTCTGAGCTTCCAACGCAGGGGGCTCAGGTTCGATCCCTGTCCGGGGAACTAAGATCCCACAAGCCGCGCGGCACGGCAAAAAAAAATAATAAAAGCGCTTCCTGGAATTCTACTAAAATCCTTCTGTTCCCCTGAGCCTTGGCATGACCCACAAAAGCCCCCGCTCAGCCCCCTGCCTACCTTTCCAGGCTTCTCGGCCCCGCATCCACAGGCTGTCGCTTCAGCCACACTGAGTTGCTTACAGTGACCCCGACATGCCAGGTTTCTTCACGACTTTGCGTATACTGACTCCTCTGCCAGGCTCCGCCCCTACTTCCTGGGACCTACTCCTTCTTCACAACCTTAGCTATCATCTTCTGGAGGCGCCTGGACCTTCCCTCCTGGGCAAGGGTGGGCTGGGCCCCGCCCTGTGATTATCCACTCCTCAACATGTATCACAGTGACAACACCTTGTCACTGTCTATGGTTTGTTTTATCTTTTCCACCAAACAATGAGCTCCTGGAAGACAGAACTTTTGCGCCTGGTCACTGTACGCCCAGCACTGGGCATGGGGCTTGACAAAAAGGAGGCACCCAGTAAAGGTTCAAGTAACAAAAGAAACTAAAATCTCCAGTTCAAATGTAGAAACCGTGATTCGTGTCCTTCATCCCATAAAGCGCGTCTGAAGACGGAAAGCATCTCCTAAGACTGGTTAAACAGGAGAAGCTGCTGGCAGGAAGCCACCTGAATGTATCTGAGACAGTTGGCAATCAACAATCAACGCCCAGGGCTCACTTTCATCCTGGGGACCTCAAATTCCACCCTCCCCAGTGCCCACTTTCTCTACTGAAAACCAGATTGGGAAGGCAGCAATGCAAAGTCCCCATGGCTCTCACCTTTTCTCTCTGGAGAGCTGGCACAGACTGTGCCTTCTTGATGGAGATACCAGATCCTTAGGAGGAATGACTTGTTTGAGTTCCCATCTTGATATAAAATGCAAACAACAAAAACCGGGCAAATCTGAAAGGCTTGCTGACTCAGCAACACAAATTCCAAGGCACCTTTGCCAACAAGGAAGATGATCAGGTTTTAAATTGAGAAACAGGAGTTAGTGAAAACGAATACACAGATGTCTGGTCTGTGTGCTGTGGCTGGGGACTGGAAACCACCAGATTCATTTTCCAACAGCCTGGGCAGAGCAGAAGGTACAGTAGTCTCCCTCTGCCCACTCAATAACCAAGGGGATGGCTAAAAACAACAACGACAACAACAACAACAACCCCACAAAACAAACACACACACACTAAGACCTTCCACAGAAAGGCCTGAAAGGACTTGGAAAGCTAGTCTGCAGTGTAGGTATCCAGGAAATCAACACACCAGAGAGGGAAAAAATTTGGCCAAGGTCACATGGCAAATGAACAAGAAGCCTAGTTATAGTCATACTGATGGTTTAAGTAAAGCCTGATTTTGGTTACCTGAAAGACCACCTTCTACAACTCTAGAGGAGCTAGGATAGCATGCAGAAATATTTTGAGTTTCTTAAGGGTCCAAGCGTCTCTGCACAAACTATTTCCACTGCTATTGGCACTTAGGGAAGAGGGACCAATGTGGGGGACAGCAGCTGGCTGAGAAAGGGTAGTTTCAGGCGGGAAAAAAAGCCTCCTAAATCCTTTTCACAGCATATACCTTATGCCCTCCCCAAGAAAGTGACCCAGGGTCCCAGGAAATAGGCACTTCCTGGAAGTCAGACCCTACATGAGGCGAGTTAGGAGTTAGACTAAGGAGGCAAACTCCCCTAAAGTACAGCCCCTGCCTCCAGTGAGCCGTCCACCGGGAGGCAGACCCCAGCAGAACCCAAACGCTAACTAGGGCAGCCGGTGGCATTATCACCACCGCCTCCTCCAAGTCCTGTGAGGAAGGGTACACTCCCACAGACGGACCAAACTCTGTGTCTGCGCCCCTCCCCCTGCTAGCCCTTCGGCTTCCACCCCGGCGTTCACCCTCCCACCAGGTCCGGTGCTAAGCTCCCAGCGTCTCCCAATTCCCCCAACTCCCTCCTCCGGGACATCTACCCGAAGGCCGGTCCCCACAATCCTCCGCCCTCCCCCGTCACCCCGGGGCTCTTCTCCGGCCCGGCCCAACCTTCCCTCACGCCCACGCCCGCCCCCTTCCGGTCCCAGATCGGCTCGGTCTCCCCCGCGTCCCCGGGACCCCAGCCCTGGCGACGAGCAGGTGGCCTGTCCGCCCCTCTCACCGAGGCTGAGGAGGGCGAGGGGGCAGGCGGAGGACACCGCCGGGCTCAGGCTGCAGCCCCCGCTGGGCCTGGGCACGGCTCAGGCTCTGCCTCCCAGCTTAACGAAGAGGCAGCCAGAGCGAAACAGCGTCGCTTCCTTGCGTCCCAGTGCGCATGCCCAGGACGCTGGGCCGTCTGGGAAACGTAGTTCCAGTGGAACAGCGGGGTGCGGGGCCGAACTCGACGTTCACCTGTTTAGGGGGTATGTATCCCAAGAGAGCTTCGTGTCTAGCTGGGGAGACAGACACTTAAACACACAACTACAGGACTCCCCTGATGGCGCAGTTGTTAAGAATCCGCCTGCCAATGTAGGGGACACGGGTACGAGTCCTGGTGCAGGAAGATCCCACATGCCACGGAGCAACTAAGCCGTCGCTACAACTACTAAGCCTGTGCTCCAGAGGCCGGGAGCCACAGCTACTGAGCCTGCGTGCCACAACTACTGAAGCCCACACGCCTAGAGCCCATGCTCCACAGCAAAAGAAGCCACGGCAATGAGAAGCCCGCGCACGACAATGAAGACTAGCCCCCGCTCACCGCAACTAGAGAAAGCCCGCGTGCAGCAACGAAGACCCAACGCAGCCATAGATAGATAGATAGATGATAGATAGATAGATAATAAAAAATTAAATTAAAAAAACACACACCTACAATCTAGTAGGATCAATGTGATAAAGGAGTGAGAGCATAGAAGGGGGTGCCTAATGCGGGGTGGGGGGGGAGGTCAGGAAGACACCACAAAGGAGGCGACATCTGAATTGGATTTTGAAGCCTGTATAGGGGTGTGCCAGATGGAATACAGGGAATCCCTTGCAAAGGATGAGAGATGTGAAAGTGCCTGACGCATTCAGGAAGCAGGGAAACGTTCTGTGTGGCCAAGGCAGAGGGTACATGGATGGGGTGAGGACAGAGAAAATGGATTAGGGTGTGGCAGGATATGGGGAAATGTCTGGGTAAGATTATGATGGACTCTATATGTCATGCAAGAAATTTAGGCCACTGGAGTCAATTGAAGATTAAGCAGGGGAATGAGAGTAGGCATTGCATTTTAGAAGGATACCCTTGTGGTGGGTGGAGGATAGAGAAAGGAGTGGGGAGACCAGTCTGGAGGTGGTTGTTCAGGTCGAAGGTGATGAGGCCTAAACCAGACTGGTGACTAATCTTTTGGGATCATAGACCTCCTGTAGAAAGCTAAAGAAAGCTATTCCCAGAAAAATGCTCAGATGTGTTCACACATGTGTATACGCATACATTTTGCATACAGTTCCAGGGGATTCAGAGTCCTCTGAATCTTGAACTCTAGTTGAATATCCTTACATAATCTAATGTCACTCATACTTTATCAGGGATTTGAGTAAGATTCAGATTGCTGGAGATGGGGAAAGAGCCCTCCCCCAACATTCAGTTCAAACACTTCATTTTATAGAGGAGGAGAGAGGGGGAGTAACCCACCAAAAGCTAGTGAAGGGAGAGAAGGAACAACTGCAGCAGGCCCAGTTTCTTGTACCCTAGGCTGGGTACAAGAGCTGGGTCAGCTCCCCATACCACCCAGAGCTGACTTAGAGGACATAGGCTTTGAGTCTGGGGGTGGGGGTGGGCGGGCATCAAAGTCAGGTTCTTCTAATTATGCCCAGAGCCAGCTCTCCATTGAGAAACAAAGGGTAGCGTTTTACCTGTGATTTATACTAGATGCCTGCCGTGGCTACAGATTAGGATGGGACCAGTTCCCTTCCCCTCTCAGAGCCTCAATTTTCTCAGCCATAATCAGTAACAACATGTCTAAATCACCTAGTAGGTGCTTCCCTCATTACTCCCATTTTAAAGATGAGGACACTGAGGACTTCCCTGGAAGTCCAGTGGTTAAGACTCTGAGCTTTCACTGCAGGGGGCCCGGGTTTGATCCCTGGTCCGGGAACTAAGATCCCACATGCCATGCCGCACAGCCAAAATAAATAAATAAATAAAATAAAAATAAAAAGATGAGGACACTGAGGCTTAAGTAAGGACACAGAGCTTAAGCAATGTGTCCAAGGTCACATAAGAGAGCTGAGAGCTGGTCTTTTTTTAAAAATAAATTTATTTATTTATTTATTTTTGGCTGCGTTGGGTCTTCGTTGCTGTGCACGGGCTTTCTCTAGTTGCGGCGAGCGGGGGCTACTCTTCACTGCGGTGTGCAGGCTTCTCATTGCGGTGGCTTCTCTTGTTGCAGAGCATGGGCTCTAGGTACACAGGCTTCAGTAGTTGTGGCACGAGGGCTCAGTAGTTGTGGCTCATGGACTCTAGAGCGCAGGCTCAGTAGTTGTTGCTCACGGGCTTAGTTGCTCTGCAGCATGTGGGATCTTCCCGGACCAGGGCTCGAACCCGTGTTCCCTGCGATGGCAGGTGGATTCTTAACCACTGTGCCACCAGGGAAGCCCTGAGAGCTGGTCTTTATATCGAGGTAGTGTCTGACTCCAGACTTGAGCACCCCCATATGGCTGGCCTCACTGCAGGAAAGGTGGGGATGCAGATGAAATGGTCTGAAGCATTAGAAAAGCCTTTCAACACCCAAAAGATATTTTAAGTGTTTCCTTTTTCCTCAGTGAAACACTGGAGTGTTTGTCCAAAACCCCATTGCACATACACGTAGACACTCAAATGAATAGAACAATGGTGAGAGGCTGGCTGGGAAGGTTCTGGAACCTAGGCTCTAGAGAGGGGAGGACCTCTAAACGCAGACTGTTGGAGCTCTGGGGAAGTCTCAGGGGCTCAAGGTTGAGAACCAGTGTGGGAGGCCAGGGGGAAGGCTGAGGCAGAGAAGTTCCACAGGGGCAGGAAGTAGGACACGGTCTGGAAGACTGGGTGCATGGGAGTGTCCTCCCATTAGGTACAGCATGCTAGAAAAGTGGGGAGGTCAGTCAGCCAACCTCACGCAGAGTGTGAGGTACGGGGAGGGGTCGAACAGCCAGGTATGAGGCTCTGGAGAAATCTGGGCTAGAGATGGGGATTTTGGGAGTCACAGGCGATGAAATTGAGATCACCTGGGAAGACCTCAGAAGAGGCGCAAAGGTCAGTCCAGGGCTGAGGAATGCTGACTTTTGAAGGACAGATGAGAAGCAGAAGTGTCTGGGGAACAGGCTGGACTGGGGGACACCAGGTGAACATGATGGCGGAGAACCAAGGGGACGGTTCCACGAAGGGGGAGCTCAGTGGTGACAGACACTCTGAGAGGCCCAACCAGCTGGTCCCCTGGTGGGGAGCCCATCCCAGAACCCAGGGCTCCTGCCTCCCAGTCTTGGGCTCCCTCATTTTTCAGTCAACCAGCTGACATCCAGAAAGGTCCCAAACTTCTGACTTAGGGACAGGAAGGCCATTGGTGACCGCACAGTGGCTTCCATTGAGAGGCAGGAGCTGAGGCCATGGAGGTTAGGAATGCAGTCTGGAAGCATAGGCAGCTGTTCCAAGAGCAATCTTTGTGTTCCACACATGGGAGGAGGAGATTGAAGGGGGTGGCAGAGGATAAATCCACACGTGTGGAATGATGCCACTTACGTAAGGATGCCCGTAGCCGTGTGCTCTTGGGAAGACGCTAGCCAACACGGTGACACCCAAAGGGCGGGAGGAACAGGTGATAGTCACTTTCTTTGTACTTTTCCTGTAGCATTTCACTGTGTCCCAATGAATAGTTTCCATTTTTGTAACCTGAAAAGAAAGACTATTTTTATTTGGGGAAAAGTAAAGAGTTCTGGTCGTGAAAAGAAGCGAAATAGGACAACAGCGAGAGGGAGAACGGGGGACAGGGACTTTGAAGTTTTAGGCAGGAGAGAGTGAGTGTGCTGTGCTCTGAGGCTGCAGCAGGATGTCCCTCAGGAAGCTGGAAATGAGGGAAACTGGACTGGCCACTTGCAAACTGAACTTTAAGCCAATACACATAGCAGAACAGGGCTGGTTAAATAACCCTGGAACTCTAGGTAGAAAGAATGAGGAAGACTCACAGGTGCTGATGGAACTGGTAGCCAAGATCTATTGTTAAGTAAAAAAGGAACTTTCAGAGCAGAGGGTTAGAGTAGAATGGGCACTTGTGTGTGTGTGTGTGTGTGTGTGTGTGTGTGTGCGCATTTTAATTTTTATTGGACTACAGTTGATTTACAATGTTGTGTTAGTTTCAGGTGTACAGCAAAGTGAACCAGTTATATATATACATATATCCATTTTTTTTAGATTCTTTTCCCATGTAGATCATTACCGAGTATTGAGTAGAGTTCCCTGTGCTATATATACAGTAGGTCCTTATTAGTTATCTATTTTATATATGGTAGTGTATATATCCCACTCTCCCAATCCCAATCTCCCAGTTTATCCCTCCCTCCACTTCCCCCTTGGTAACCATAAGTTTATTTTCTACATCTGTGACTCTGTGGTTTGTAAATAAGTCCATTTGTACCATTTTTTTAGATTCCACATGTAAGAGATATCGTATGATATTTGTCTTTGTCTGACTTACTTCACTCAGTATGACAATCTCTAGGTCCATCCATGTTGCTGCAAATGGCATTATTTCATTCTTTTTTATGGCTCAGTAATATTCCGTTGTGTATATGTACCACATCTTCTTTATCCATTCCTCAATCAATGGGCATTTAGGTTGTGTCCATGTCCTGGCTATTGTAAATAGTGCTACAGTGAACACTGGGGTACGTTTGTGTGTTTTAAATGCACACACAGGCTTGGAGGCATAGATATTTTCTGAGAGAAAACCTAAGATGCTCCAAGAAGGTAAGGGATGAGCCGAGGATTTTTATTTTATTTAGTATGCATTCATGCTGATTTTTTCTATCACAAAAATATGAGAATGCCCCCAACACATACACACAGTAGAGTAGGTTAGGTATGCCTTGTGGGAGCTGAAACATTCCAGGCGAAGGCTCTGTACTAAATCATCTGCCCAGAAGGGAAGACTTTTTGTAAAATTTTTCTTGTGCTGAGAACTCTTTTTTTTTTTTTTTTTGCAGTACACGGGCCTCTCACTGCTGTGGCCTCTCCCGTTGTGGAGCACAGGCTCCGGACGCGCAGGCTCAGCAGCCATGGCTCACGGGCCCAGCCGCTCCGTGGCATGTGGGATCTTCCCGGACCGGGGCACGAACCCGTGTCCCCTGCA